CAAGTTCAGAAAGCCCAGAGAGTTCCAAACAAGAGGAACCCAAAGAGGCCCACATCAAGACACATTACAATGAAAATGCCAAGGGTTAAAGACAAAGAGAGAATCTTAAAAGCAGCAAGAGAAAAGCAGTTAAGTTACCTACAAGGGAGCACCCACACTACTGTCAGCTGATTTCCAACAGAAACTTTGCAGGCCAGAAAGGAGTGGCAAGAAATATTCAAAGTGATGAAAAGCAAAGACCAAAGACCTACAACCAAGATTTCTCTACACAGCAAAGCTATTATTTAGAATTGAAGGTCAGATAAAGAGCTTCACAGACAAGAAAAAGCTAAAAGAGTTTATCATCACCAAAAGAGTATTACATGAAATGTTTAAGAGCAAGAAGAGCAAGAAGAGGAAGAGGAAGAAATATGAACAATAAAATGGCAATAAATACATATCTATCAACAATTGAATCTAAAAGTCAAAATAAACAAACAAGGAACCTAATGAACAAAATAAATGGATGAATGAAACAGAACCAGAGGCATGGAAACAGATGAATGAATCTCAAAGGGTAGAAGGGTGGGGAGAGAATAACCAAAGAGCTTATATGCATAAATGCATTACCCAAGGACACAGACAATAGGGTGGTGAAGGCCTGGGATGGGAAAGGAACTAGGTGGAGAGAGACACTGGGGGGAAAAATGGGGACATCTATAATACCTTAAACAATAAAGATTAAAAAAAGAAAGAGGATACACAAATGACCAATAGACATATGAAAAGATACTCAATGTCACTAATCATCAGAGAAATGCAAATTAAAACTACAATGAGATATCACCTCCCATTGGGCAGAATGGCTTTCATCAATAAATCAACAAAAACAAGTGTTGGTGAAGATGTGGAGAAAAGGGAACACTTGTGCACTGTTGGGAATGCCAACTGGTGTACCCACAGTAAACACTGTGTGGAGATAACTCAAAAAATTAAACACGGAACTGCCTATGACACAGTGATTCTACTTCTGGGAATATATCCGAAGAAATCCAAAACACTAATTTGAAAGATTATATGCAACCCTTTGTTTATTGCATCATTATCTACAATAGCCAAGATCGGGAAGCAGCCCAAGTGTCTAGCAGTGAATGAATGGGTAAAAGCTGTGGTATATTTACACAATGGAATACTAATTGTCTGTTAAAAAAAAAGAAATCTTACTCTTTGTGACAGCGTGGATGGACCTGGAGAGCATTATGCTAAGTGAAATAAGCCAGTCAGAGAAAGACAAGTACCATATGATTTCACTCAAATGTGGAATCTAATGAACAAAATAAACTGATGGACAAAACAGAAACAGACTCAGGGACAGAGAAAAGACTGACAGCTGTCAGAGGGGAGAGGGTTGCAGGGCTGGCTGAAAAACATGAAGGTATTAAGAAAAAAAAACACAAAAAAACACAACCCTCATAGA